TATATATATATATATATATATATACCTTTCGTAATGCTTAACTTATATTATTAGATCATCAAAATTAAAATAGATCAATTAAAATTAAAAATTAAAACAGAAATTAAATAAATCTTTATTTTTTATAATAACCTTAGAAGGTAAAGTATAATTTCAAATAAAAGATATCTTTCTAGATAATTAAAATTTGTGAGACAGAATTAACGTTAAATTTTATGATTGATTGTCTATCTATTCTCATTCCTGGTATTGGTGCAACAGCACAATTCCTGAATCGTATAATAATCAACGACAAAGTAAGAAATATATAGTAATTTTTGTGTACTTTGATTACATAATATTAAAAAAATATATAATTGTTTTTGTACTATAATTTGTGAATGGAACGAGCATAATTTACAGCTGAAGAATTTATTTGATCAAATTAAAATCGATTGCGAGAATGCGAGATCTCAAAATGAGATTGAAATTATACAAACAAGCATCACGAACACAAGAATAGTAACAAAATTGTTTTTGAGTAAGTGAAATCTTAGTTTTATTATAACAAAACAGGAAAATTTACTCTATATCAATATAATAATTACGTCATGTAAGGTAATCGCTCCTACTTATATGCCCTTACTAAGCTTTGCGGTTTTTCCTAATTTTTTGTTGAGTCCAATTAAAAATTAGAAATTAGTGGTTATATTCAAAAGAAGGAATATTTTTTAATGTAAAGAAAAATATGAGATATTATCAAATATTTATATATAGATGTAAAGATTAAAAAAAATATATCACATTAATAATCATTTTTCAATAGTTAGAAGAAATAATTACTTACCTACAAAATATATATATTACATCACGACCATGACATTCTATAATTTGTCTTATTGACGCTAACAGAATGAATAAATTTAACAACGAACTGACGCAATCGAGTCAGACAAACAACCTGCACAAGTTACTACTACCATTTGTTGAATTAATAGTGTAATTACAAACGATAACAAATTATAGCGTTTTATACATCCATATTTGATTGTCATATTTAATATTATATCATAAAATATTTTGTTACAAATTTATTCTCGACGTTATGCGTATCGTTCGTTCGTGTAAAGATGATTGTTGACTTTTTTTATAGCGGGAATAATAACTTGATTAATTTTAATTAACTTTACGTCTTTCAGTTTACATCTTTGTAGGCATATCTGTGTACATGCTTACCACATTCATTCCCCAAATTCTTGACGTATTCCTACCGCTGAATGAGTCACGTTCGCGCGAGCATCCGTTTTATATAGAAATCTTCATCGATCAACAAAAATATTTTTACACTGTTCGATTTTTAATGTATTTCGCTATGTTGTACATATTGGGACTGATCGTTGCCAACGGATCCATATTCGTCGTTTACATGCAGCACGCTAATGGAATGTTTACCATACTGGGGTACTGCCTAATGGAAATACTGTTTCTACATTTTAGCGCATCTTATAATGTGAATTTTATATTCAATTTCAAATGTATTTTACTCAATTTTTAGTACACAGAATCCGATCAAATAACATATAAAAGCGGGCACAACGTGATTCCTTATAAAAAATATAAAATAAATATAAAATAAATTTTTTTTCTCGCGAAAACTATGCAGAAAATCGAAAAATTTTATTTTATATATTTTGTTAATTTTTTTATAAGGAATTACGTTGGACCCGCTTTTACGTGTTATTCGATTAGACTCTATAATTTACCTTTATGTTAGCTTCTGGTTCTAGTATTTTAATTATAAGGAGTATTTAAACATGTGTGCACGCTTGTGTAA